TGAGGGGGGAGAGAAGAGGGGGGAGAGAGAGAGAGAGAGAGAGAGAGAGAGAGAGAGAGAGAGAGAGAGAGAGAGAGATGGAAAATCAGTAGAGGGAAGTTTGGAGGTGACTTTCAGGCGTGGAGAGTTGCGCGCGCGTCAAGGCAATCCACTCGATCACTCTCTGGGGACACCGAGAAACCCTGGTTCACCGCATACCCATATACATGTACATGAAGTACAACATATGGCGTGTCCACATACGCCCGATCTGATGGAATAATGTTGGGAAAAATCGTTTAATTCTGTAAAAGCAGACATTGTTTTCTGAAAATATATAACAGGAAGTTAAACCAATGATAAATCAAATTTTGTAACTTGTTGCTAGATATTAGATACAAGGAGAGTATTGCTTATTATTATTGTAAAAGTCATTAACAAATTAATTTAATGCTGTTTGCCTCTGAAGGAATGAATTATTTTAAGTAAAAATATAATATTCAGTGAACTAATTATTTTTATTGCTAGGTATCGAGACCTCATTATTATTGTAGAAGATTAAAAGCTGATAAATCAGTTCCGATATCGCGGTGGACTTTTTGATTACTAAAGATTAGATATTATTTGGTAAAATTATTTTGTTAATAAATCAGTCTTCTGAGGTGCTGTTTACAATTAATCATTTGGATCATAAATTTATTATAAAATTTGTTATAAAATTGATTGTGTTATGAAAATGAATTTCAATCAGAGTTTCGATATTTTCTAAAGAGAAAAATAGAACACGAGTGTGAAAATTCTCGTGGACACATGCGGGAGTTATACGCAGGTGTCCGATGTCGCGGACGCATGTTGTGTAGCATCAGTAGCATGTCGTTGTCGATTGAACCTGTTACATATCCATCCCATGAATCACGCTGAGGTGTTCCCCAATTGGCTTCCAGTGATCCGACGTGACTGCGATAATAATTCTGATATCAGACGCCAAATTGCCCCTATAAAGCTCCCAAGCAGAACAAGTCATGATAACATCGAAATGATGTTAAAATTAATTGTAGTTGATTAGCTTTTAATGATCATTTTGTGGAGTCATTTTGATGTTATGATCAATATCATTGATCATAACATCAAAATAGTTCCACAAAATAATTTGTGTTCTGCTTGGAGTATTTTATATTGTTCTATTTGCGTCAGCATTATGGAAAGAGTTTTACTGAAGCGTATAAAATTTAGCTAGATATGGATCTAAAATAATTCTGTTCTGATCAAAATGATTATGTAGGACGCAAAAGGGTCACACTAGAATGTGAAAACTTTGTATAACGTTATTATCAACATTAATCTATATAATTATTTCGATGATCTTATAAAATTCTTTTCAGATCTGTATCTATACATTGAAAAAAATGTACTAAATTTTTGCTTTAATAATACTAATTAAACATTTACTAAATGTAAAGATATTTATTTGGTATAAGAATCATTAATTTAAGTATCATTTTTTTTATTGAAGAAATACTTATTTACTTTTAAACAAATATTTAGTTAGTATTACTATTACAATAAATATTTATTAAAATTTAGTAAATTTTTTCACTGTAGCTAAATTTTTAATTTAGCAAAGTGTCGTTTTTTCTGTATTTATGTTTGTATTTATATGTAATTTTTAATATATCATGCATAGTGATATAATAAAATAACGATTTACGTATAAAATTTTACTTGAAATTACGTTGCACGTGGCAGCGGAATTATCCTTTATGCGTGCCTACTTTTCTTAGCACCCGCAAATCCATGATAACCAGTTCAGGGGATCGTCATTCATATCGGGGGTCAGTCGGGGGTGAGAAATTTCCCCGGTGAATGCTGGTGATTCGTCACGATATCCCGATATCCGTTCGTGACATCGCACGTCCACGGTCGAACGATGGGAAACGAGATCCAAACGCGCGATACGATGCTTACGACGATGCCACGGTTGTATGTTCTCGGGCACGTGCGGTTCGTAAAATCGTTATCGAAGACCACGCATCGTCGCTCCTGAAGGTAGCTCTCAGACAGGGAAGCCTGAAAAATATTCGGGATTAAACGCGCATGAAAGAATTCCTGATCCGGATTCGGAGTGTCCGAGGCTCGAGTTGGGACTTACCGAGGGATGCGGTGAAAAACAATTCTTCCAATGGCGAACGTCTCGTATATTAAAATCTTTCATAATCTTTACTTTCATTTATTTGTTAGATGATTCCTTCCTTGTCAGAAAAGGAAGGATTTTTTATAAAAATTAAATAACTTCAAGAGTACTTTATAACAATCAAACAATTCTTTTAACGCTAATTAAATAATTTTTCTTTAATTTTTTTATCATTACTATAAAGACTGAAGCTCAATTAAAAAAATTCAATTAAAAAAATTTCTTATCTTTGATAATTTTTAAAGAAAATAATTGATTTTGTTTAAAGGAGTGTTTCACCTAAAAATGGACACATATAAAAAAAAATACGTCTTTTATTTAGATCTAGACTACAACATATTAAAAGCTTATCAAAATCTGAAGAGAACTGCTCTCTATGTTTCTTTATGAGAAGAAATGTTGTAAAAACTTTAACGCTTGACTCTATAAAGCAGACATTGCGAAATAACAGAAAATTAAATTAATATAATGAATCAAATTTTGATTACCGAATATCAAATAGAAGGAGTGTATTATTCCAAGCAGAACAACAGATTACAATACATTCAAATAATATTAAAATGAATAACTATATGATCGAAAAGTGAATTTTAATAATCATCTTGACATCATTTTGACGTCATTTGAATTTTTCTGCTTGCTGCTATCATCTTAGAAAGTTTTTAATATTAGAAGTACCATCTTTTACTTGTTAAAAGAATCAAATGAATAAATTGAAATTACAATCAAGAACGTGATAAAAAACCAAATATTTCATCAGTATAAAGGATATAAGGATAGTATAAGGATATATAATTATTGAAAAATCAAACAAATTCAGAATCCTTATATCTTTTACACAAGAAATATAATAATATTAATCTAAAAAGTAGAATAAAAATAAAATAAATAATACAATAAAAAATAAAATAAATATAAAATATTAATAAAAATTAAAAAATAGAATAAATGTTAAATAAAAATAAAAAATAGAATAAACATAAAATATTAATAATGACCATTCGGTACTTCTTGTGATAACAAATCAATTCTTATGCAAAAATTTCTTCCAACTTGGCGCAAATTGGGATAAACATCCTGGGCTAATCGAGTGCGGTCGTGCGTGCGTGAATGCTTTCGCGTGCAGGCAGTTCGTGAAGAGAGAGAGAGAGAGAGAGAGAGAGAGAGAGAGAGGGGGGGGGGAAGAGAGAGTGAGTGAAAAAGAGGGAGGTCTCTCGGGGGTGGTGCGGATCTCGACGAGACGGCGGTGGCAGGACGAACGAAGCGCGAGGGGTCGAAAATCGAACGAGAACGAAACGAGTGAGCGAGCGAGCGCTGGCGTTGTCATTAAACCGCAAGCAGAATTTCCGACCGCTCGCTCAACTCGACACGCGTCGCACCGTCCCTCTTCCCGCCAATTCCGCCGTCGCGCCGCGCGACCCCCATTCATCATAAATGCAATCAGATCGTATTACGCGCCATTACCATACGCTCTACCCCGTTCCAGTCGCCGTCCCTTCGGTCCCCAGTCACCGCCACCCCTCCTTTACTGTCGGCTCGCGCGGATACGAGCCCGAAATTCATCCCCCTACAGCGCGCGTGGCGAAGCGAAATCTCCGAAAGCCGTCCCTTCGAGGTAGTAGAAGGGAGTCGAGGACTGATTAGGTTTTGATTGCGTACGGTCGACCGCAAGTGAGAGAAACTAAGGAGTGGAGGGGGGAGGGGGGAATATGTACGCTCGTTTTATACCTTTCCTTTTTCTGGATCGTTCCGCGTGATCGATGTCGCGAGAGAATTCGACCCTGTCATTAATAACGAGGACAATAATCGATGTCTTAATATTCGTTTCTATCAATGTAGATCTATTCGTGATTTAATTTATTTCTCATCTCTTTGTAATTCTAAAGAATTTAAAAAGAATTATAAAGAGATAAAAAATAAATTAAATGGAGATTAATCGAAAGTTAATCTACAGGTAGAATTAATGAACATTAATCCAGGCTTAATTCATATTTTTTTATGTTAACACTATAGAAATTTTTATAATTGAAAATTTATATATAAAGATATAAAAAAGTGTAAGACAAATTCTTATTAAAAACCAGACAAAAATGTATATCTTTTAATAATTTGTAGTTTTTAATAGTTTATTCATAAATTATTATTTTTATTGCATGTAAAATGACGGGTAAGAAGCAAAAATGCAAGAAGTAAAAAGTGCATTGTAGATTAGACTTTGTACGCAGCGCGACCAATTGAACTCGCCATTAGTCTCGCGATTCGCGGCTACATTCACATCGCTTCGCAATCTTTCTCCGATACTTCGTCTCGCGCGCAATCTTGGAAGCGTCTTCTTGCACGAGAAGCTCATCGTGATGGCGAAAGTGTACGAGTGTGTCGCGTGACGGACACGCCAAAAGTTTCGCGCGTCATCACGGAGTGCTAATCGATATTCATAATCGTGATTAGCT